TGTTCATGCAAGATTTCTTGACAGTGAAGGTTGAGTGAGGTCAGTGTTATGTAGGCACTCCTTGTCTAAGTCCAGGCAAGTAAAAATCTTGCACATCATTAGCTCATTCCAAAGATACAATCAGAAGGAATTCTGCCTACAGTATGATAAAGACACTAACAAAAGTATGGTTGTTTATTGGCATGTAGATACATTCTGCTGACACATGCTCAACATATTCTTGATCAGAAAACTGCAGGCAGTCAATATGTAATTTACAGTGGCATTTTTCTCCACCCTGAAAAATGGATGGTTCCAGTAATGCATCTCTGACTTGAAACCTTAATTGATAAGTAATTACTGCTACAATGTTCCCTCATTCATTCATCTGTTGGAATAAAAGAACAAACAAAAACAAGGAGAAAATCCAGACATCAGCCTGCCAACATTCAGATCAAAATTGGATTGTCCTTTTGCTCTTTGAAAAACTTTTGCTATGTATAGGGAAAAATCCAGATACAGTTGGATACATATTCCCTATCCATCTCTACAAGCCTTTCAGCTGCAGTGATATGGGTGGGTCTACACAGGAAAAAGCAAGCCATGTGACAATATAGTTAAGGAACAACCACATTTTAAGCATTCCCTATCATGGTGGCAATTCTAGTGTAGATCTGGGTAATAATAGTGGTCATAGACATAGGTAATAATAGTAAGCTCGCAGGACTTTACAAAGGTGAGTAAACAGTATAATTCCTGTACTGCAAGTTAAGAAAAGGGAGCACAAAGTTTAAGTCATTTGATGAAAGTTGCTCAAGAAGCCAGCTGAAGAACTGAGATTAGAACTCTGGTTTCCCAATTCCCAGTCTATGCACCAAATACTACAGAGATTACTGTCTCCTGGTAAGAACTGCAGGCAATTTTTAAACTGATAAAGTGGAGGCCCTGATGCTTTCAGTGAACTAGTTTTCTCCTCCGCCATCTGCAACAATATAGCAGGCATCCCTATCCACTAGTGCCCCTTCTGTAGCATTAATGTACCATTCTGGACAGGCCAGTAGACATAAATAAAAGCAAGATTACTTGCTGCGGTAGTTTATCATCAGTTAAACAGTAAGTTTGAACATGTAAATGTGCATGTGTGTTTTTTTGACAGTATGGTGAACAGTAAACTTGCTCTGCAAGAATTGTCATAAGCATAAATGAAACATTCTTTGCTATCAGATATTGGGAGAAAATTGTTTAGCTAACATTTGGAGCTAAGTCTACGGCTATTTGGTCTCATCTGAAATATCTTTCATAGTTCTGAATGGGATATGACCAGTGCAGGGGTGGATCTTGGGGCGGGGGCATGGGGGAGGTGAGGAGGGAGGGAAGGGCAGTACTGGATTTGCACCTCCTTTGAGTCTTACTACACCCAAAAGCAGCAGGGTTGGCAGTGGCAGCAGCATTTCTATTCAAGCAGCAGTGAAGGAGACAGTTGGCTTTGTGGCTCATTATACTCCACTGGATTCCTTCTAAACTCCTCATTCTACAGGTGTTAATGAACCTTTCTTCTTTTTTAATAGTCTTAATGTTCCACTTAAGGTATTCTTTCTTCTGCAATTCTGCTGTCTCTTCCCTGCTCCTGGTTATGTAGCTCTTATGTCACAGCCCTACAGACTGTTTTTAACTAGTGAAAAACATTAACTCAGACATGGAGATAGTGCATTCAATACTTCACTGAAAAGTTATCAAGATGCTCAAGAAGGCTGGATTTCAGTTTATGAATCTGAAAAAGAGGTATCCATTTAATTCTAATGACTACAGGACTACTGAACCAATTTCTTTTAATTATACAGCGCTTTTAATTATTTTGTCTAGTTGGTTGTGGGTTTTTTATATACATATAACACAGCAAATTTATATTTGCTTTTGCTCCAACCTTAAACTGAATAATAGACTCCTAGACCATTAGCCTATTAGTAAAGCTTCTAGCTTCTTTTTAACCTGATAAAAATATGTATTGTGTTATATGTGATGATGTACCACATCTGCACCCCCCTTTTCAAAATCCTAGATCCATCCATGGACCCATGAAAACAAACCTGCAAGTGAAGGAAAATAAAGCTTTTTATTGAAGCTAAGCTGTCCCTTTCTGAATACAATATCGACAGCAGTGTTTCTTAAATTACTAATTAAATTGCATTCTTATTTTTGCTCGTGCTTTGATGATGGGTTCTTATGCTCAGTATTTAAGAGAAGCATCCAAAACACTTGAGGCATATCTGAACTGAATCTTTTAAGCTTCACCCATCATTAATTAGGTCTTTGCTGCAGGCTCATACTGTGCTGAGAGTCCTTGTTAAAACACAAATACATTTAATAATAGTGAAGGAAGCATCAAAGCACCAGCCAGTTAGATTGCTTGTTATAGAGGAATTCCTTTTTTTCAAGCTTACTCCAATGTAAAAGAGCCTCTCAAATGTATTTAATCTTTTCCTGCTTGGAGTCAGATGTTCTAAGCACAACATTACTTGCCAGTGCTGGATGCAACAAACCCTCAGGCACCAGAAGTGAATTTTTTTTTCAAATTAAAATATTGAACAAAAACACTATCTCTGTTATGTGAATAGCCTTGAGTTTTATGTTTGATCATTTTAAAATGAGTGTGTGGTTTATAAATGAGTCAGGGAGGAGTAAAACTGAGTCCATCTGATGTTTCATCTACATCAGAGCAGAAAAAAATATAGGCCAAGTTCTAAAATGAAGCCAGAGGAATTAAAACAAACAAATACTTTGATTCCACTTGCTAAATATGTCCTGAGGTTTTAGAAATATAATCATAGTCTTTGTGTGATCATTTTCATCATTGCATAGATATATGTACAACTTAGGATGAAGGAAGGATAGTGAAAGGGCTGGACTGAGAGACTCAAGAGACCTGGATTGCATTCTCAGCTCAATCATAAATTCCTTCTATGAATGTGAGCAAGCTACTTTCTGTGTCTCTCAGTTCCCCCATGTATAAAACAAAGATAACAGCACTTCCTTCCTTCTCATGTGTTTTGATAAATCCATTCATGTCTTGCAGGATCTCAAATAGTACATTGATGGGATCTGTATAAGAACACAGATGTATAGATAGGAACTGAGACTTCTTAACCCCCCTTCCCCCCCACACACAAAACAAGCAGATCAAATAGTCCATATGAGAAAACAGGGGTCTCAGACTGATGCCTGACTGAAGAAGAAATTAGGTTTGCAGGAATAACGCAGCTGCTCATGCAAGCCTTACTAAGAACAGAACAAATATTTGCAAGGAGAATGTTACCTATGAGGAGAAGCCCTGCACCAGAGAGGAGTACTCCTCAGAAAGGCATTCAAGGACAGAAACCTTAGTCACCAGCCTCATTGTGAAACTCTTTGAAACAAGAATCACTACCAAACTATCTGGAAACATGGGCTGCCTGTACAAGTGCTAGTTCGTGTTCCAATTAACATGTGTCAGAGCAAACTAGATTAACTGAGTCTGCTCCGGATTCTAATTAGAACGCTTCAGCATGGCCTCACTGCCATGAGTATAAGCCCATGGGTTCAAAAATGGCCATGGGGGTGCTGTATCTAAACCTCATTGAATGAGGTTTAGGTAAAGCATCCTGTGGCCATTTTTAAACCAGCAGGGTCTTAATGCACATGACAGTGAAGCAGTTCAATTAAGAGCAGCTCCCTGGGAACCAGGGGTGATGTGTAGGGGGTACATGCAGGTGCACGTGCACCCCCAGAGCATGGAGGTGCACTGTCTACAAAAAGGCACCACTGACACTGTTGGTGGCACCTGTGGGCAGTTGCTGCTTGCCACCCCGCTGCTGACACTGCCTGCAGCATCTGAGGGTGGTCTGTGATCCCCACTGGACGTCACCACTGGCATCTGCAGGAGCTCCCCTGCTTACCACTGCCATGCTCCCGCAGCTGCGGGGGGCACGCATCATTCATGCAGGGAACCACTCTAAATAAAACGGTCCCCCTGCCCCTCCCCTAAGCACATGTATTGGCAGCCCGCTTCTACTGTACCTGGCATGGATGTCAAATGCTGTCTTCCTTTTCATGAGCTCATACTATGTAGCATCTGTCCCCATAATGGACACTTGTGTATTATGAGATGTAGGGCTTGAACCAAATGCCACTGAAGTAAGTGGCCATATTCTCAGTGACTTCAGAGGGCACTAGATCGAGTTATAAAGACACTTTTATTAGGCCAAATGTGCAGAAAAATAAGTGCTGATAGTAACAGCAACTTACACAGTGGGATTTTATTATTGCTGTTGGAGTTTGTTTGCTTCCCTAGACACACTTCATGCACTGCTGAGGCATGTGGACAGCCAGAATTCCCAGGTTTGTGACATCCCACCCTGTGCAAACAGCAGTTTGTCATAAATTAGTTCATGCCTGCTGAGCGATGTGTCATCATACTCAAGTATGGGCAAGATTCTCGAGGCCGGAGCCCCTTACGCTGCTACAAAATGTTCTGGGCGAAGCAGAGAGGTTTCATGCTCCTAAATGAGTGTGGAGTTGGGGAGCTGTTTTATAATTGGCAAATGTTGCAAAGGAAATGCTTAAACCTAAAGGATAATGGCTTTAGAATTTGAGAGGGTAAGTTGGAGTGTTTCCTTTGCTCTAGAAGTTTTTCTAAAGAGGAAGGGATTTCAACCCAAAAGGTGATTGGAATGCTTTTTTCTCACTGACAAGGAAAGGTTGCTAGGCAGCCTCAGAAGAAGATGAAGGAGCCTACTGTTCACTTACGTTGTAGAGACAATTGACTTAGGCCCTCAAGTATGAGGAGGAAGAACATCATCCATGGTTAAATATAGGGGGCTGGGACTGAGCCTAAAGGGGTGGGGGCAGGGACATGTTAAATTTGCTACCGTCTTATTTGCTTTGAGTATGAAGCAATGTTAGTCTACTCATATGAATCATAAGTGTCATTACACTTTGTGTATTCAAAACACTAATTTTTTAGCATCTGCTTTTTGTATTCACAGAACATCATCAAGAAAGTGATTGGACAAAAGTTTGTGTACAAGTTTGTCTCGTTTCCTGAAATCTTAAAAATGGATCCACATGCCATAGAAATCAGCAGAGAGAGCCTTTTGCTGCAGGACAGCGACTGTAAGATACCTTCTGAGAGCCGAGAACAGCACAAGCAGAGCTTGTCTGTGCTAAAAAGCACAAGCCGTAATGAATATATCCATTCTGGCTTGTACTCGTCTTTCACCATCAACTCTCTGCAGAATCAGCCAGACACTTTCAAGCCAATCAAAACAGAAAAACTGGAAGAGAAGTCAGAAGGAAACACACCAGTGGAAGAAGTCAGGACTGTTATAAGATTTGTGACGAATAAAACAGACAAACAAGTGATGAGGCCCATTGTGTCGCTGCCATCTACTTCTGAAGCAGCAGCTGCCTCTGCTTTTCTTGCTTCTTCAGTGTCAGCTAAAATATCTTCTTTAATGCTGCCAAATGCAGCTAGCATTTCATCTACTTCACCATCCTCATCACGGTCCCCATCTCTGTCTCCTAACTCACCCCTCCCTTCAGAACACAGGAGCTTCTTCCTCGAGTCCAGTTGCCATGACTCAGATTCTCTTGAGCCTCTGAACCTCTCTTCAGGTTCCAAGACAAAATCTCCATCTCTTCCCCCAAAGGCTAAGAAACCCAAAGGCTTGGAAATCTCCGCCCCTCCCATGGTTCTTTCCAGCACCGATATTGGTTCCATTGCCCTCAACAGCCCAGCACTTCCTTCAGGATCCCTGACTCCAGCTTTCTTCACTGCACAGGTAAGACTTACTATATGAAACAGTGCCCTCTTTGGGCAAATAGTTAGCAATGTGGGGACCAAATGAAAGCTCAGTACTGTATATGCCCATAACTCTCATAGTGAGGAAAAAAGTATATAAGGAAGAGGGGGGAAAAAACCTGTAACAAATGTCTACGTAAAAGGTGGAAGGTAGAGTCCTTGTTTACTCCCAAAGCTTCTATAGCAGTGTGGAGAAAAGCAGTTGTCATTCATGGGGTGGTTTGAAAGATAATGAGAAGTTCATTTGGGGCAGCTGTTACCATGAATTAGCATGAAAACCAGTTTCAAAGTACAGGAAACACTTGTTATTTGTGGGTTCAGCATTCACGGTTTCAAATGTTCGTGAATGCTGAACCCACATTTTAAATACACTTCATACACTTCCAGGAGCTCCTCAGGAGCTCTGCACTTGCTGCCACCAGGCTCCTGCCGCTGTGTTCCCTCTGCCGCTGGAGCCATGCCCCCCCAGCTGCCGAGGGCACTGTGTTCATGAACATAGTGCCTTATTTGCGGTTTTCACCATTTGCGGGGATTACGAGAACGTATCCCCCCGTGAATGGCGAGGGTTGCCTGTATGTAGAACAAGGAGGGAAAGACCAAGTAACAATAGAAGAAGTTACTGGGCTAAAGTATGTACGTATACATCTTGAGATGCTTGGTTGAGTTTAACACCACATGCTGTACCCATTCATAAACTGTGACATTCTCATTAGCTTTCAAAGCAGATCAAAATGATTGGTCTATAAGAAATGTCTCCTAAGTCAATTTTAATTTCAAAAAGCTTTACAGGTTCATAACACTCATTTCTGCATGGATGTAATATTTAACCATTTTGTTTTTGTTCCCTATAAAATGGATGTTTATTAATTACATCATTGTGTGTGTCAGCATTGAACTAGTTTTTTTTAAAGACAGAGTTAACTAACAACAAAGGCTGTTAAACAACAGTCACCTGGAAGCAGATGATTTAATGCATCACTCTACATAATTTATGTCTGATTTCACCATACCAATTTAAACAGGGCATCTATTGTAAAAATGTCCAAGATTGGAGAATTCAGGATAAAATTTTAGACAGAAACCATTAGGTGAAATGTTTTGAATAAACTCAAAGACATAAGATCATAGATGTTAGGGCATCTAACTCACAAAACCTAGGAAATCTGGGGTTCACATTCAAGTTTTATCAGGAATTCACCATAGTGATGCCTTTCTTGTTGGTAGAGCTGTACAGTATGTAGCACAAGAGGATGATTTGAGGCCCCAAATAAAGATCAGTTTGCTGGTCTCTGCCATTTGTGCACATTATAAAGCTTTCAAATTATAAAATACTTTTGGCAGGTAGAACTGGAGTGTGGCAAGACCAAATTTAAGGTACATTGACAAGCTTGCATAGTGTCTAACTGGTAATAATCATGGTAAATATTTTACTTGCTGTGGACAAAGCTTAGAAATAATTCATACCAGGCCCAGAATTAAAGAAGCTGAAAGCAAAAGTTTATTGGAAGTCTCCTGGAATCTAGTGCCACCCCAAAGCCAGTACAGTTTAATTTCATAGATTTCATAGACCATTTGTTTCCTTATTGATTCATTTGTTTATTCACCATTTCTTTGGGCTTCTCATTCCCTCGTTATTTAAAGTAGTGTGTTGTATGAAAATTTGAGAGGGAAAATTAGAAGGACCTGATTTGTTTTTTAGTTGATTACAGGCCTGCTCTTGAAGGATGCTTACCAAATCCACCAGTGTTATCCATTGGTTTATCCGTGCCTTAGCAAATAATTTTTAAGTGTATCCTATCTCAGAAGGAACTGATTATATCAACGTGTCATGTAGCGTTTTAGGCCAAGTACCCTGAAGACATCTGGTAGCATAGCTGGAGTACCACAGCTCCCTCCTAGGTATGAACGATTTGATTTAAAAAGCATCCTGTGTCCCTTAAAACAGGCCTGTTCAACTTCTGGCAGCCAGGGCTCCACCAACAGTGACCACAAACAGTGGGGGCCACACCAGCATAGGCCACAGGTCCTTGCTGTACCATGCTGAGAAGGTGCCCCATCCTCCACTCACAGCGCCCCGACTGTGGGCTCCCTCTGTATCGAGCACTGTCTAGCCCTATCCCTTGGGGCAGGGCCGAAAGCAGAAGGCAGAGGAAGGAGTGGGGGAGCCTGGAGACCCACATCAGAGTGATAGGGGGAACTGCAGCAGGTGGGAGCTCAGGACCTGTGTGTTAACCCCCTGCCTTAAAAGCTTAACTTAATGAACCTTATAATAACACAGAGAAAATACAGGCACCGTGTTTGAGTAACAGTCAGGTTATAACACCAAGCAATTAAAAGAAGACTTGCAGGGAATTGTAGGTCTTACATACCATCCTACATGTGATTTATAATATTCTGATATAAACCATCAAGAACATATGCACTCTTGTTTTACAAATGTTCAAAACTTGAATTTGAATGATTCAGAGAGAGCTTAACAAATGCAGCCTCTCTCTCTGAGAAAGTCATTCCAAATAGCTTCCAATTTACGTTCTGATCATGTGAGCAGAAGGCTTAGCCAAATAGCTATAAAGGACTTTTGTAACCAGTTGGGTTCAACTCAATTTCAAAATGGCAAAAACAACCTGAAGATGACAGGAATTTTTACTACTAAGGGTGAAAAAATTGTTGCATGTTTTGTTTTGTTTTGGTGAACTTGAAAACAGGCTTATTTCAACAATGCCATGGATTATTTTGCTTGCTTGGAGCTCAGTGCTTGCTCATGTGCTAATTAATTATTTTTTGGTTCCAGTGGCACTGCTGCCCTTCTCTGACCAAATGAAAGAAACTTATTTATGTCAAACTTTTCTTTAGACATTTGTTTCAGAGTTTGCAATGGTGTCTAATGCACTGATGCCTTGGCTATGAAATGAGCATAGGTGCAACTGCATCCCCCTTCACATGTCATCAGCTGGATTTAGGCCTTTAGCCTCACAGTACAAAACTTCTACCACAGGAGGTAAAGGAGTAACTTCTATTTGGAAGCAAAAGTAGACTTTGTCCTCTAGAATTATGCAACACACACTGTGCTAGCAAGGATTATACTTACTCTGGCTTCTTTGAGAAAGCAGATCCAAGTGCCAAGAAGAGCTCTTTTTGTATATTGAACAATATTAATCTGAGTATTTTTAAAGCAGTGCTCCTACAACTCTAACCTTGCTCCATCTAGATTATTATTGTGGTTAATGATGGATTTTAGATAGTAGAGTCACACTGATTTAAAATATAGTAATTTATGTAGAGCTCCAGAGGGCAGCGTGTGGGGTGATATATGGGTTTTCCCATGTAACTTAAGAATATTTCCGACTGCTTTGTTGGTTATACTTTCAGCTCCTTTGATGGTTCTGATACTGTCTTCTAGCTTCATTGACTTGAAGCCTGGAGTGCAGTGTGTACTTTTTGAATTGAATGATAACTAAGATAGAGGCTTACTGTGGCTGGCCTCAGCTAAGCATGTAAATTACTAGTATGTGGACTTTAGTATAGTTGTCAGGAATTGACTCAGCTAGGTTACAATTCGGTTTCAGATCACATCTCTCTTTAAACATTTACTTTTCTTTGAGGAGACTTTTCAGAAAAACAGGGCTTTCCTGCCTTTTTGAGAGGTCTCTGGGCCCAATTCTAATAAAACCCTCTCCACTTTGTTCTCTGGTTCTTCCTAGATAACATATGGTCAGTTCTGGATCTGGATCAAAAAGGCTGATGAAAGAAATAGTAAATTGTGAACTTGTGGTCCTCAGGTCTCACTGACACTTTCAAATTCTTTGTCCCAGTTGAGACTGCTATTGTTATTACTTGGGCACAATAACTTGAGAGCCATCTTAGCAGAATTGGCAGGGCAACTCTGTGTCCTGGGCAGTCATGGTGCATAGGCAATAGGCCTGTGCAAATAGGTAAGTATTTGATGCAGATTCGACTGATTCAGAGGACAGTGATTCGATTCAGAGATTCCACAGTTCAGATCAGCCAGGGAAAGGCAGGCACAGCCAGGCGGCTGCAGGTTCTCCCACTGCTCCTCCGGCTATTCCTGCCACTCCCCAGGTGGGGGGAGCCACAGAAGAAGCCTGCATGACTGCCCTGCCTGGCCCCAGCCTAGTCCCAGCACTTAAAAAAAAAAATCAAAAAAAAAAATCACGCACTCACCAGCTGCAGCAAATGGGGCCTCTGGGTACCTGTGGCAGAGCCCCACTGTGCAGCAGCTACCCCATGGCATGGGTGCAGTGTGGCTCGGTAGGGCACTGTATACTGTCTGGGAGCTGGGGCTGCTGGGGCTGAGCACTGCCAGGCTCTGGCTGACACATGGAGCTGCCCCAGCTCCCAGGCAAATCGAACCAGGAGCTGGGGAATCAAGCTGGGGGATGGGGAAATGTTTAGGTCCCTGAACATTCCCCCAGTTCTCAGTTTGATTCCCCAGCTCTCCGATCGCTTCCGCCAGCTGTTTCCAGGGGGGCCTCTGGATGATGCAGGATGACAGCAGGCTGCCGCTACTACCTGGTAATCGTGGTGGCTCTGGACTATTTCCCCAGCCAGCAGCAGCAGTCTGCTGAAACCCCATGCACAGATCCAGGGGCTGTGCCCCCCAGGAAGAGATGGGGGAATGATTAGAGAGCTGGAGAAACTGGGAGCTCCAGTTGAAACTGGGAGCTCCAGCTGACACAGGGAGCTGCCTCAGCTCCCAGACAGCATGTGGTGCCCTGAGGAGCTGCGGGTGCCAGGCGGGGGGTGGGGCAAGCCCCACTACCCCCCACTACATGCTGGGACTCTGCCACAAGCACCCAGAGGCCCCAATTGCTGCTCCTGCATCCACTGGGTGCGGGGCTTTTTTTTCTCTTTTTTATAGGTGCTGGAGGCTGGGTCAGGCAGGGGATGGGGCTGGGCAGCACAGTCATGGGGGCTTCTTCCGCAGCTTCTCCAGCTGTGCCTGCCTCTGCCTGAGTGGGG